CCTCACACCTGGGCCCCTCACACCTGGGCCCCTTACACCTTGGGCCCCTCACACCTGGGCCCCTCACACCTGGGCTCCCTCACACCTGGGCCCCTTACACCCTGGTCGCAAGTGCAACCCGGCTTAGAAACGCACCTGCTTCTCCCTTCTGGGGGCCCCTGAGGCGTGGGGGTGCTTGTGCCCTTGGCTTTGTGCCAGGAGCCGCCCTGTCCCCGTACCCCAGGCTGCGTGAGGCTGGAGGAGCTGGCAGTGCCCAGCAGGCAACACCAGCAGCTGTGGGCAGTGTGGAGGGCAGGCCAGGCCCGGGCCTGAGGGTGGCCCCTGAGGCCCTCGCCACAGGGCAGGAGCGTCTGAGCGGCCTTCCTGGCCGTGCCCATCCCTGGGCGGGACTGAGCTCCCCCTTCAGCGTTTCGGGCCTTCCCCAGAGTGCCCCCCGGGCACCTGCCTGTGGGCCGCATGGAAGTGAACCTCCAAGAGGCGCCTGGCACTGACCTTCGCTTCTGCTGCAGAGGTCACCTTCGTGCCGGTGTCCACGGCGAGCGGGCAGGCGGAGGCCGACGATGTGCTGGCGGCCGTGCGCCCGGCCACCTGCCTGGTGAGCGTCATGCTGGCCAACAACGAGACGGGCGTGATCATGGTGAGTGGGGCGGGGCCCGTGGGGCCGGGGCCCCGGGCCACGCTCACTGTCCGTCGCCCCCCAGCCTGTGCCCGAGATCAGCCGGCGCGTCCAGGCCCTGAACCAGCGGCGCGTGGCCGCCGGGCTGCCGCGCGTCCTCGTGCACACGGATGCCGCCCAGGCCCTGGGGAAGCGGCGCGTGGATGTGGCGGACCTGGGCGTGGACTTCCTGACCATCGTGGGCCACAAGGTTTGTCGGGGCTGGCAGAGGGGCCCCCAGCCTGAAGTGTGGGCGCCAGTGTCAGGAACAGCAGGGTCACCCAGCGAAGGCCCAAGCCCCCGCCGGCCGGCACCCCTCTGGGCCCAGACCCGGGAGTTAAAGCTGGGGACCGCGGGGCCCCGACAGGAGGGGTGACGGCGGGTTAGGCCGTGTGAGGCCCCGCTGGGGCCTCAGCGGGCAGTGCGCAGGGACAAGTGGACACAGGCCAGCGTCAACTGCCTGGCCCACTAGTGTGGAGCGGCAGGCCAGGGGCTCTGGGGTGGGGTGGCTCAGTGACCCTCACTCAGAGAGGCGGGGTGGGGTGCGCAGAGCCCCGTCCGTCCGCTCCCCCTGGGAAGCAGTGCTTGGAGCTGGCTGCTGGCGGCGTGGCCACGCCCCGCCCAGACCAGGCTCCAGACCCGGCAGGGGGAGCGGCGCGGGCCGCTCGTGGAAACGCCCGCCCCGT